TTATATATCTATGATAGTATCACGGTTTTTGTTGATGTATAACGAGTTATAAGTATCTAATGGATATTGTGATATGATTAATTTGGAATTTATTATAGGTACCTATTATAGGTCAATTTTTTGTTTAATACCATAGATATGTATATAATATGTCTTATACATAGACTGACATACCGTCACCGCTCAGAATCGTTTTTCTTATACAATGATATTATATCATTGAATTCAAATTTAATACCATCCATTATACAGTGACCCACTTGTAACCTACTGTACAGCAGAGCGACACCCACTTGCCCACCTTTTAAAAATCAATGTCGTTACAATTGCGTTAATTTAAATAAAATGTCACGAAATGACTTCAACGTTACTGCATAAGTAATTTTTGTTAAGTACCTATGTTACTATACGTCTATACCCAACATTGACTTTATTGTTGTATGTCGAATGCTGTAACTTGTAGATATAGTAGGTACTGATAGTAGATAATATTATATTACCTATATTAATTCTGAATTGCAAGACTACGATAAATTGCTTAGACTTCAATTTGTGATCTAATTACAAACATTTTATAGCATTTGATACGTTTGTACACAGTTGTACATTTGACCATTTATATAATTTATTCATTAGTAGGTACTAATATTTTAGGTATATCTATGATTTATAATTTATTTAAGTGTAGGTAGGTATAATTAACAGTAGTTAATACATCTAGTATAAAATTAATTTAAAAATATATTTTAATTACTAATTACTAATAAGTTATTGCTCGTTAGAATAATATAATACCTTTTGGCTTATCTTAAAAATATGTTCATTACCCTTATCTGAAATATAATAATCATCATGCTATAATAGAATAGTCATTGAAATATTCATCAATACAGAGAAATATATACAGAAAAATTATCATTTCCATTTGATAATTTATTATTTCTGATGGAAAGTCTAAATGTCAAACTTAGTTTTAATGCGATCTTCGTGATATTGATACCAGTAATTAGGCAATGCTGTGGCTTAAGAGGACGCCACACCCGCATGTGTTGTCTCCGTCTTACAAACGCGTAACATAGCAAATTACGTCCACGGAAAACAAACGAATCGGCATCAAAAAGTGGTTTTAGAGTAAAAATACCTATAATAAAACTTAAAGAGAACAATATTTCGGAGGGAACCTCATCGGGGTTTTGTATTAATCTAAATACACAGCTAGATATTGAAGGCACAAAAACTCTTTTTTTTAAATAACCACAACTTTTTTAATAGTTAATATTTTTAAAAACGCCGATGAGGTTCCCTCCAAAATATTGTTCTCTTTAAGTTTTATTATAGGTATTTTTACTCTAAACCACTTTTTGATGCCGATTCGTTTGTTTTCCGTGGACGTAATTTGCTATGTTACGCGTTTGTAAGACGGAGACAACACATGCGGGTGTAGCGTCCTCTTAACCAATCGATGTTAATTTTTTGATAGTTTAATAGTAATATAGTCTATAATGTTGTATGAGGTATTATCATTACAAATTTCACGGGAATATTTAAAATCTAGGGAAACGCACTAATGAGAAGACTGCACGTGATATGATTTAGTTTATAATTTATAATATATATTTATACTATACAGGCATAAGAATGACATTAAATAACAATATCTATACATGGAGCATGAGCGTGTTGACGGAAACCTCGTTGACTTTATAATACCACAGACTATATGACTATATGAATATGTCTGTGATAATACTGTGTACCTACTGATATATATTATATATAGTATAATATTAATACACCATAAGTCATTATAGTATCATAAATTTTGTATTTTAAGTATTATTCACCACTGTCCCATTGATTATTTATACAAATATGAAATAATGTTTGTTTTAATAAATTAATGCAGTATTGTTATATATTATCATATAATATCATCATTATAATATGATTATTTATATGTATAAAGTGTTCTAAGTGTTCCTATTTACATTGATTTTAGATAGGTAGCATAATGATAAATAGGTAGGTCATAGGTACCACCATAATCAATACGTACGCTGTACCTACACAGTACACGTGATTTTGTGTCGTTGGTTTGTGCAGATCAATTATCATCTCATTTGCATAGCGCAGTTATTGAATTGTTCCAACAATCTGAGTTATGTGACTTGTGACTCGCAAGGCGTGAGCATATTATAGTCTGTAGCTGATTTAATATGGAAAAAAACGAACTGCCGTTAAAAAAGTATTAAACTGCGTAACGTGTTTTTCAAAACGATAAGAGCAGTTTAACTGTATAATGTATATACATGCCCATTTCTATTGCCCACCATGAGCGACGATAGTAGGTACCTGCGGCCTGCTTTTGGTGTTGGTCTAGTTGACCCTCCATTTACTATAGTCTATAGCATTTATGAAGAAAGGTACAAAAACTTTTTGAAGTATATTAATTTATCATACTGTATTTGTATGTTATAATTTAGAAAAAAAATTATACAAAATTCAAGTGGTCAAAATAAAAAATAATAAGATAAATTAGGTATAAGGCATGAATAAATAAATCGTAAAAAGTAAGAAAAAAATACCTTATTCATAAATTATGTAATGTCCTTCAAGATTTAATTAAATACGGATCGTGTTGGTTCAATTTACTTCGCCACATAAACTCTGCCAAATAAGAATCTATGAAAGTTTCTCTTAGTCCCTGTTCATATCTATTGTTGTCCCATTTAGCACTTCCCCACATCCTCTCAACATTCTGTGTGCGAGCTCCGCTTATAGGATCCATAAAGTTATATTTGTGATTTACTGTTGAGCGATTATAAAGGCCGTTCTATGTACCTAACAACTTATATAATTGTCGTAACTTCTCTTTCTGGAGTAGGTAAATACATTTTATAACAAATATGATTCGAACATTGAAAACACGAGAGATGTAAGTGGCGAGGAATACTTTCTTGGTGGAGGTCAACTATAGACCACAGTACCGTGCTTTTAGATTCTGAGTGAAACGATGAATGTATTGATTTTACAATGATGTGTGTTTATTTATTTTTGTGTCTGTCATAACGGTTAATTGCAGTAAAACTGCTTCGATTTTCTTCAACAGTATCTTGTTCGATGGGAAAGTGAATCTAGTTGAAGCATTTTAGTCAAATTTTAAGATTCCCAATAGTTTTCAAAAGCGACGGGAAAAACAACACAAAAATTAAGGAAATTAAGGAAATTAAAAGAAATTAAGGAAATTAAAGGAATTTTTACTCAAAATCGGTTTTCCACAAAATCGATTTTGGTTTTTGGTTTAACTCTAAAACAAATGCGCTTAAACATTTTGATTTGTTTTGAACTGTTTCGGAACATTTCCAGTTTCCAATTTTATTAGTTTTTTTTTCTACAAATGTTAATAAAACTTTATTAATTGGGTAAAAAAATTTGAAAATTTAATACAAGGCTTCTACTATATTGTTACAATAACAGTTGAAAAAGATTAAAAATCCTTAGTCATAATTTTTTTTATAAGCATTTAAAGTTCAAATCTTGACAAAATACGAAAAATCACGAAAATTAGAAAATTATTTTGAGTAGAGAATTCATAAAAATTTTTCTTTTTAAATTTAAGATTTGAAAATGTAATACAAGATTACTCATAAGTTTATCTACCTTTATAAAAAAAAAAATGTCTACAAGCAAATTAAATTAAATTTTTATGAGCTTTTGAAGTTCATAATTTTACAATATTGGATATTCACTCGATTTCTCATGTAGCGGTTTTGTTATTTTATTATTATTCAAAAACGAATAACTGTAGGTACATGAAAATTTTACTGAATGTTTATATTTTTATTTTCTATACGCCATAAAAATTTGAAAATATTTTGACTCTTTTTGAGCCGTTTACGGACATTGTCAGTTTTCAATTTTCTTAGTTTTTATAAACATTTAAAGTTCGAATTTTGACAAAATTTATCATAATTAAAATTTGATAATTATTTTGTAGTAAAAAAATTATAAAATGTTCAACTTTTATAGCTGAGTATTAAAAATTTAAAACAAGGGTCCTCGTAAATAGGTAAATACTAAATATATAAATTACTTTATTCACAATAATATTATCAAATATACTTAGTAATATCTTAGGCTGATTGACCGTCTCCGCTCAGAATCGTTTTTCTTATACAATGATATTATATCATCGAATTCAAATTTAATACCATCCATTATACAGTTATCCACTTGTAACCTACTGTACAGCAGAGCACCTTTTTTTTTCGTAGTTACGTTATCTACTCAGAATTTCCCGGGGTATGGGGATATTCCATTATACGATGTCTAAGGGACGACAATGTAATATAGTACGTTATGTTATTTAATTCTCAAATTTTAATTAAATGTGCGCTCATGAGTGATGATAATCTAAGCGTCGTTATTGTTCCGGAACAAAATTAATTTTCCACTCATCACCAAGTCCCTTGTTTGGATTTCAGGAGACAATGTTGAACCGACTGGAAGAAATTAATTCGTTGCTTTTCACTATAATATTGAGTATGTCATTGTAAAATCGAATATGTACGTTCGAAAAGTACGGTTTGTGTAAACAGTGTGAATAAGTTTTTATTAGTAAAAAAACTGCAAAGCAAAAACAACTGAGTTGTACAACAACAACAAGTAACAACAACAAGGCAGAAGGCGATATTGTTGTTCAAAAAATAGACGTCACTCGTGACCTTGAATATTCTCCCTCCACCGGCAGAGGCGTCGATCAGCTGCTTTCGGGACGGCGGCGTGTGCGTGCCAAACGAACCGGAGGAGGACCTGACGTTCTGTTCACGGTTTACGGTTGTCACTTAGTATTCTTTTCTATGCTCGGCACTCAACACTAGTTATTACCCTGTAACGGACGTCAACCGATCGTTTCGTCCCAGTTCACACGCTGCATCAGAGGGCATCGTTATTATAGTAGTCCCAACTCGTTTCCCGTTCCGTCTCTCGTCCGTCCCGCCATGGAACCGGTGCTAGTGCAGACCAAGCCGTACGAAGGCCAAAAGCCCGGAACCAGCGGCCTGCGCAAGGCCGTCAAAGTATTCCAGCAGCCCAACTACACGGAGAACTTCGTGCAGGCCGTGCTCGGCGCCGTCCAACCCTCGGCCACCGGCAGCACCTTGGTGGTCGGCGGCGACGGCCGGTTCTTCTGCGCCGAAGCCGTGGACGTGATAATTAAAATCGCCGCTGCCAACGGGGTACGTGGGTGACCGTAGAATAATAATAATTAATATGTTATTAAAATGTAACGTGGTGTACTGCAGGTGTTTGGACATAGAGAAAAGGCGCTTATTGACAATTTTTCTTCGCCCAATCGTTATTACAATATTATTATTCATACCTACGCCCTTGAACCGTCGAGATTCTTAAACCTTTTGCAAAGCACCTAAACTAAACTTTTTTTCTATAGATAGTCAGCTAGGTTCCCACCTACCGTTGAATTTCGTTTTTCTCATCCCACGAGATCCAAACGGTAAACTTTCGTCGATACTGGTTCACATACTCACTGTGGTTTTATGACAGCTGCCCACGGGCCACGACCCTCCGAAAGGATTTTTTAAAATATAAATTCATGTCTTGGAATTGTTTATAGGCAGACGTAATATTCTTTATCGTTTTTTCGTTCGTCCTATTTCACAGTGCCTACCGATGGCACGACATGTCTGGTTTAATTTGTAAAGGTTCGTGTCGTGTCGTTATACGCACGTGATGTGATGATAATAATATCGTAGCCAGACACGAGTGTCGAGTACACGAACGTCGTCATTTTAACATTATTAATGCACCAATAAGTATTATTAGACACTATATGACGAGCTTGACACTATTTAGCAAACGTACACTTAAAAAAATATATTGTAAGTAAGCATTTTTTTTTCATTTTTTTGACGTACCTATGCGTGAGTTTTCGATTATTATAGTCAAACCCAGAACGAAGTAACATAAAGTTAGAATTACCTACTGTTATTCAATATTATTATTTTTTTTTTTAAATATTATGACACTGGGCTATAGGCAGCGGCTACGAATAAATTACGAGTTACGACGTCTTGTTATCTTTACATAAATATTATAAAGATAAACTATAATATAACCTTCCCCCTCCTTCGCGATGCCGGTAAAGATAACACCTATAGGTACGCGAACAGCGATTTAAGGTTTTTCGGTTGATTTTATTATACTTTTTCTGCACTCAATGTTATGCAATAATATGCATAAATAGCGTAATATGATTAATACGTAAATACTACATATTAATATTATGTTAAACAGTAATAGCTATTTCCGAATAATAATTAGTGTTTACGTGTATGTTTGATATTTTATCCCTCCCACACTACTATGATTTTCAATGGGTTCTTATAAGATCATAACAGTATTATTGAGTTTTTTTACAATATTTTTCACTATAGTTGATGTATTATAAAAAGCTCAAGTCTGCTCAGGCCTATAGTCGATAGCTGGATACTGTATAATTGTTATTGTATTGTAGACATTATGTTTTTAAAAAAAGAGTGAAAGCACTGTAGCTTGTGTAAGTAATAATGAGAACATACATTTTTAATTTTGTGTTGATTATTTTCGAAAAAATGGTGACCATACTATTATTATTTTGTAATAAATATGCCTTATTTTTGGTGGTGATTCGACGAAATAAAAAATAGCTACTCAATTCGTTCATCGATAAGTTTGGTTAATAATTATTAATGTTATGTACATATTATTTAATCTAAATGTTTACATAGTGATAAATTATTAATTATGTAAATAAATGGCTGAAGATGACTTTCAATAGTCATAGATAATAATATGAAATAAGTACTTAGGAAGTAAATAGGTATTTTAAAAAACCATTGGCCTCTAAATCTGCTCTTAAAATAATAAATGAGACCAGTTTTATGATAATCTATAAATAATACCTAATCTAAATATTTATTTTTAAATATTGAATATGAAGTTTACTAAAATCATACTATTGTAGGTACATACTGTGATATTATAGCTAAACCATTAGACAGTGCTCTTAAATGTGAAATTATCAGAGTAGTGATTATTTGTTGTAAGTTTGTTTGTTACATGAATTAACTTATTTATTGTTTGATCTCCAGGTAAAGAAATTGATTGTAGGACACAAAGGAATTCTGTCAACGCCAGCTGTGTCCTGCATCATTCGAAAATATAAAGCGACCGGTGGCATAGTACTTACAGCTAGTCATAACCCAGGAGGTCCTGATAATGATTTTGGTATTAAATACAACACGGCCAATGGAGGTGAGTTCTAATGTGTGATTAAACAAATTATAAGAACCATATTATTAATTGTCTAATACCAATATTAATATTATAATTGTTTTTTTTTTACTGTTTTAAAGGTCCTGCACCAGAATCTGTTACAGACGCCATCTATGAGATAACCAAAACCATCTCTTCATATAGTATTGTACCAGATTTGAAATGCTCTATAGATTATTGTGGCTTACAATATTTCCAAGTATAGATTTAATACAACATTTATTCATAAACTTGAAAATTAAATATAAAAATGTTATTTTTAGGTTAGTGGTAAAGAATTTGAAATAGAAGTCATTGACTCTGTTGTAGATTACCTTCAGTTGATGAAAAGTATTTTTGATTTTGATGTTATTCGCAAGTTAATCAAAGGGTCCAATGATAAAGCTCCTTTTAATATTCTTATCGATTCAATGAATGGAGGTAATAAATATGAAACATATTAATTGACATGATCTTATGGCCGTTCTTATAATGTCCGGTTAAGTGTTGATTTATATTAACTGGAAGAATTCTATAGGTAACACAAAAGAAATTCTTCCAGTTAGCGTTATCAGGCACTTAACCGGACATTGTAAGAACGGTCCTTAATCTTATTGATTTGATATATTTTAGCATCATTTAATAATATTTTTTTAGTTGCCATTTTGTCTGATCTATAATTTAGATTTGTTATTTATTTCTATTAAAAATTAAAAATACTTATGTTTTTAGTAACTGGACCTTATGTAAAGAAGATTTTTATTGAAGAATTATGTGCACCAACAAATAATGCTATCAATGTGATACCTTTAACTGACTTTGGCGGAATTCATCCGGACCCTAATCTCACTTATGCTTCTGGCCTTGTAAAATCATTACAAGAAGGGGAGTATGACCTTGGTGCTGCTTTTGATGGAGATGGTGTAAGTTTTTGTACAGCATAATATGATGATTTGAAATTCTATAAAGTAATAGAATGAATAAGTACTTAAGTTTGAAATTTATTCGGATTCAACTAATAGGATTAATTCATTGAACCAAACAGGGTGTTTTTTTCAGGTTTAAAAGTTATTACTCTGTTCAGCGACAGAACACACTAATGCGGCATATCGAGACTGATTCACCTATGATAGGGTGTCGCTTGGGGATGCGCAGAAGACTCGATTTTTGTCGGTCCATGTTGTGTTCTCTTGCTGAACAGTATATAATACTTATACAGTTATACTACTTATACTATACTCTGTCCAGCAATGGAAATCGGTTCTACTTTCGTGGGAACACAACACCCTGTCATAGTAAAATCTGTCTCAATGACAGGGAGTTTAGTGGTGTTGGGCAGAATCGGCATGTTCTTTAGCTGGATAGAGGATACTAGATAAGTAACTTTGTCAATCAAAACCCAATTTAAAAATCTGTTCAAACTCTATTGTAGTTAGTAAATTATATTGTTTTATTGATAATATACGATCTATAGTAGTCACTGGACTCAGTACAGTACAAACAACATAATAATTATTTACTTAATTTTTACAAGATGAACATAACTAATTGATAACAATATAATTACATTGTTTTTACCTATTTTTGATTAGAGCAACAATTTGAACCTGGTTCAGTCATCATTAAAAAAAATTTAAATATTTTAATGAATAGTCTGTAGGACTGTAGCTTTTGAGGGTATTTGACTCAATTGAATGTTGTTAGTCATTAGTACATTTCTAAACTACTAAATAGAGTAAAATTAGAATATTATTAAGAGGATGTGATTCTCGCATGTCTTGTCTCCATCTTACAAGTGCTTAACATATCAAATTCTACCCAAAGCAGAACACGTGTAGTTTCGTTAGCCTAAAAATTAGAGTGAATTGACCTCTTATAAAATATAAAGGTAAGATTATTATCTAGACAACCTCATGGGCTTTTTATGATATATTAATTTTAAAGCGAGCTATGAGTATTTTAAAATTGTAATGTTATGCACATGTAAGACGGAGACAACACATGTGGGTATCACATCCTCTCAAGTTGAATTGTTGAATCTTAATCTAATGTAGTTGTGTTTAAGCTTTTATATTAAAATGTTTGAAACAAAAAAGGATGATATTGCATTACTGATATACTTGGGGCTTAGGTTTAGAAAAAGTTAAAGAAGGACGTATTCGTTCATCAGAAAATCATATTGCATACAAGTGCAATGAAATTCCACATTTTATGTCTTTGATGTCCTTGCTATCATATATCTATCACCTAACTATCGTGTGATAAGCTCGTATATCGAGTTCGAATCTCGAATTAGAAAAATGATATTTTGCAATTTTTTTTCATAACGTAACGTTTTTCGATTTCGATTCTATGTGCCAAAGCAAAGACATGAAATGTCAAAAAAAAATACAATTCCTGTAATTAGACATATATTTACCCTATTTTAATTTTCAAATTTTATTTTAGGATCGTAATATGATTCTTGGTAAAAAAGCATTTTTCATCAACCCAAGTGATTCATTAGCTGTTTTAGCAAATAATCTGGAATGTATCCCTTACTTTAAAGTAAATGGTATCAGAGGATTTGCCAGAAGTATGCCAACAGGTGCAGCTGTGGACAGGTAAAATATTCTCTAATATCTATACAAAAATAATATTTACGTAATTAAAAAAAATAATGTAGGGTAGCAGCAAAGCTAGGAAAAGAAATTTTTGAAGTGCCTACAGGTTGGAAATTTTTTGGAAATTTAATGGATGCAGGTCGTTTGTCGCTCTGTGGTGAAGAAAGCTTTGGGTAATGTTGAGAAATACTAGACAAAATTTCAGGTTTATTCACAATAGTTGTTTTAAATTTTATTTTTAGAACTGGATCTGATCATATTCGTGAAAAAGATGGTATATGGGCTGTTTTAGCATGGTTGTCAGTGTTGGCCAATACTGGAGAGTCTGTAGAGACTATACTTACTAATCATTGGAAAACTTTTGGACGTAATTACTTCACCAGATATGATTATGAAAATTGTGATTCTGAACCATCTAACCAACTTATGTCAGATTTGGAAAAAAAAGTTACTGATCCCGCAATTAAGGGCCAGAAATTTATTTATGGCTCAAAGGTTTATATATTTAAACAAGCTGATAATTTTGAATATTGTGATCCTATTGATAAGAGTGTCACTAAAAAACAGGTAAGTTGATTTTCTGTAGAGCACAAAAAATGGTGATTTGCAGAGAAAAGCTTAATAACAACAATCAAAATAAAATATTATAATTTATTGGTGTATTTATCTAATTTATAAATAGGGTATAAGAGTGTTATTTGAAGATGGGTCCAGATTTGTGTTTCGATTAAGTGGTACTGGCAGTAGTGGTGCTACTATTCGTTTATATGCTGAATCATATGAACCGCCAACATCAAATATTTTAGAAGACGCTCAAGTGGCTCTTAATCCTCTTGTCCAAGTATGTAACATTAAACCAATTTAGGTAGTAGGTACCATGATATAATAAACTAGGTATGATGCACATACCGTGATATGCATCCTCCTCAACCGCCGACCATCACTCTGACAAAAAATGGCTCTGGTCTTTCATCGTTTTTAAATTTCTCATTATGATAATATTATCTAAACCAATGAAAAGTGGAGAAGATCGTCGCCATCTCTGCGCAACATAATACAAAAATTGTTTCTTTCCATCATACCTAGTTTATTATATCATGGTAGGTACAGTTAAATTTCATAAAATATGATACCAATAAATATTTTAAGTAATAAATTAACTATGTAGTATGTAAAAACTTTTGTTCTTTTTAATATTATTTAGAAATAAGATAACAATCATATGGAATGAAAAAAAACACATATTATAAAGATAAACATTTTAGATAAAAATTTAATATTTTATACACATACTAAATAATACATTTTATATAGTATAGGTATTAGGTACTATAAATTATGATATATATTAATAAAATAATTTATAACAATTTGTTTGACCTTAACAAATATGAAACAATATCTACATAATATAATCATTTCAATGTAAATAATTAAAAAACTTAAATAAATTACAATTTAATTCAACGACAGTTTTGAAAGTTCATTAGAACTCTTTCCAATAGTGTCAACTACACATTCACCGATACCGATAAATTCAAAAGGTTCTAGTGCCTGATTGGTATATTATATTTTATATTTTAGAATTACTTTTTTGCTTGGCTACAGGTTTTTTATGACTGTTCCAATACTAACTGATTGTCGCCCGCAGTCAAATTATATATATATATGTATTGGTGTTGAACGACCAGCGAGCAATTATTATAATATTATAACGATTCAGTTGTTAGAGATATTCTTTTTATTTTATAAATCTAAAATCAATAAGGAGCTCTTTAAAATGTTAAGACGTGTTTAAATGTATTTACTAAATAAATGGTACCCAATCTTATTTAAGTTTAAAATATGAACATGAAGTTTGTGTGCCCAAACTAGCCAGCGGCCCAGTCCGTGAAACCTATGATCCGGGCCAGTCTGACCCTGTCTACTGAATTGTTAATTATAATGAATTGTTTATTGTATCTAATGCTTAGTGTTGTAAAATCTTGAATAACACGTTCTCAATAACTATCTTTATTGAAAACAAATTATATTTAATATTTAATAATTGTATTAATTATTTATTAACAATATATTTAAATTACAGATAGCATTGGAGATTTCTAAATTGGTACAATTTACTGGACGTACTTCTCCAACTGTCATTACGTAAGGATCCTGTGTTTCTTTATTCGGAATGAATTATTTAGTTTTCTTCAAAAATTTTCTTGTTAAAAATTCTGTGATTTTTAAATGTAGTGTACTAATACAATTTGTTAGTTAATATATATATATTTAAATAACATTATGATTAAAGTAATTTCTATTTTAAAATAATTGAATAGTCAATACCTACTTAATAAAAATACATTATATTTATTTTAAGGTATTTATATAATATATATACATAATTTATAAAATTATGAAATATTTAAGAAAAAATATTCATACAAATTGAAATGTGTTACTGTTAAAAATTGATAATTTTGATCAATAAAAGTTTTAAATATCCTTTTCCTTACCCAAAACATATTTTTACGTTTTTTAACACATGCATTATGTTAACTCTTGTTATGATTTTTATTATATTTTGTTATTAGTTATATATTATATATAATTATTATACATATAAATAAATCTGTAAACCATGTTCACAGTATGAATAATGTGAATTATCATTAATTCATTATATCTGATTCATTTATAACTATCATTTTATGTAATTAATTTGGGTATTTTATTTTTTCAATATTTCAATACGATTATAAGTATGTATGGTTGTATTGTGAACTAAGTCTTAAGAATTTGTTCGTTAAGTCAGTTATTAAACTTAAAAAAATTAGGTGGGGTTACCTTTGAAAGTTTTTGTTGATGTTGTTTTTGATCTGTAAAGGGTAATTAAAACTCTTTAACCAGTTGATACTGCCAATAGCTTGTGGAGTCTAATTTGCCCGATGGGATTTTAAATGTTGACTCGATCAATGTTATAAATTATAAATATTAATATTATTCTAATATAACCTTTAAATGTGTTTAGGTATATTGTCTATGGCATATTTTAAAATAATGATGTGCCATGTACTGTATAGATTAAATCATTGTAATAGTATAAATGTGATATGTGAAAATGTGTAGATAATAACTATAACCATATAGATTAGATAAATAGATTTGTATTACTGTTTACTTATGAGAATGTCAGCGCACCGTTGTTACTTGTTTTCTCTACCTAATCAATCCACGCAAAACATGGCACATTTGCTTTCAGCAAACCATTTTTGTATTGACAGTTTTAATATTAGTGTGTAATCCATTATGAATGTAAAACTTGTATTTGTATGTTATCTTTTTTACAATATTTCATTTTTTATGCAAGTTATGAGTAAAATTTTACAATTTAATAATGCTCATGTATCGCAGAAGAATGAAAACACACAAAGATTCTATCACAGTGAATGAGATAATGTTTTTAACTTTAAGTTTTAAAATTGAACAATTCATTTCCCAAAATTGATTCTGCAGAATAGAAATTTACTATGTTGGGGTGGGCCAGAGAGAGAAAATAAAAAGTGTGCTGACATCCTCTTAACTTATTTTGAAGTAAAACTCAATGTACTGCTATATGCATCATTTAAATAATAATTTTGGTTGACAATTTATTATATTAATGATAATAACCTACATTTGTATTTGAGAACAAACGTTTTATAAATTAATATCAATTGATTTAGTCTCTAGATATTTATATGATACTTAACATCAGATTTCTGCTGATCACTTTAAGGACATTTTATTTAACATACAAAAAAATAATGTATTTTGTATGACACTAAATTAGTAAAAATGTATAAGTGGTTATAAATTAATACAATTATTGATGTAATATTACTAATGTTATTGAATATATTATGAAAATTGGCACACACATATAAAATGCATTTTTTTTTCTTTGGGATATTATTTTATTGTTATTCGTTTACAAGGATTTCAACCATTTTTTAAAATATATTTTGGAATGAAATTGTTTTGAATATTTAATATGAGTTATAACATATAAAAAAATTATACTTCAAATTTAATCACTGAAAAAATGCATAAATAGATGCTATTAATATATGTGTGCTTAACCTAAGATTATCACAATTTCTTTTTGTATATTATGTTAGCTAATAAAAATATCATAGGGAGATAAAATATTACAAATAAAAATAATGTATTTCTACATTTTTAGTAAATTTAAATAATAATAAAAAATATATATATGTATGGTATATATATTATATACATACATGAATGAATAGTAAATTCTCTTTTTTTACTTCTTAAAAATTACTTCTTACTAGCTAGTTATTTATGTTGTAAAGATAATTATTTGTATTATTTATAAAGCTGTTTTATATGTTAGTCTTATTGAGTTATAAATTAATTCAATACCTAATTAAATAGCCATTTATAGTAAAATATTTAATAACTGTATTTATGATTTAAGTTTTGTATTTTAATATTATTTGTTGTAGGTTTGATACTTTGATGTAATATTCATCCTAATTTTTTGTTGTTTTTATAATACTTTATACCTATATTATAAACTTGATAAATATTATTGTTTTTAATTATTCCTAGCTTAGTAGGTACAATAGTACTCAATTATTTACCAAACCTAACATTCAATTGTCCGGTTGACGCAATATCATATTTATAGGTATAATTTGGGTTAAATTTATGGGGGTGCTAGATTTATGTTGACTAAAGTGGATGGGGGGAGCCCCCCACACCGCCATGGCTCCCTCCATTCATACGCCTTAATTTTATACACCTTCAAATAAAATTATAAACAATTTTATACACAGATATAGATAAAAATTATTTATTATCTATTTCTGTGATTACATATAGCATAATACATTATTATCTATATTATTATTCTGATAGGCACCCATGTATTATTATTATTATAAAAATGGTAAGATGTTAGAAATAAAATGTGTATCCAAATTTCAAATGCCCATGGCATAATAGCCAATAAAAATTTGATGATGCTAATCAAATTGCGCCTATGATGTTATTATTTTTCAAAATGTTGGTAGGCATGTAGATTTTATTTATTAATGGTAAGTTAATTGCATAAATAATTAAAACTTTTTTAACTTTGCAGGACCTAATTTCCCAGAAGTTTAAAAGTAAATTAAATTTGAACCAAGGGGGTTGGGCAAGTAGGGGTAGTTGCCCCTCTCTTGGCATTTTATAGGTTGATTATCATTTATTATTATTGATGATTTTAATGTTCTAAAAAATACCCTAACAATTCTAAATAGTGCACTAAATTATTTTAATTTTTAATATTAAAGATATATTAAATACTAATATATATTTTAAACTTGTAAATGGTTATAGAAATGTTTTACAGACAGAACTTATCATTTAGACTACTTATTTAATCTGAAAATTAACTTCTTTTTTTCTGTACCTATAGGTTTAGATTTTATATCATAATATTTATTATAAAAATCATATAGAAACATATGCAAATTTTAAAATTAAATTTAAAATTTAAATTTAGAAAAAACTTCAAAATGCTCTAAAAATATTTAAATGCCAAAAATGACCTTAATTTTAAAATCGTCCAAAAATTCACTATAGGTATGTTTTAAAACTAGTATTGCGTAGATTTGGAAAACAATGTTAAGTGCATTATAATCCCAACCTTAATCATTAATTATAAATTATCTCAAAATAAATTTTTTTTAAATTAAAAATAAATAAATTTTTTATTTCGCAGAGTGATTTTTATAATTTATTACACTTGATTCGGAGCCAGAACTAAAAACGTTGCTTTTATAGATTATGAGATGTAGTGGTGGGACCAAGTGCAATACTGCAGTGTCAACCAAGATTTTACTTTTTTGATAAACAAATTAAATGTTCATAGATGGCATACCAACAATAGCTACAACTTTTCAAGTTTGTGGTATCAATGACTGAATAAGCTAGAAATATTAAATTTTATAAATTACCTAAAATTATAAAACCAACAGTAACATTTTATCTATTAAAAAAAAAAATAATATAAAATTACATAACAATTAATTCAAATTAATGCTGTAAGATTAAGTTTTAACCAACTATAGACGTATAATTCATAAATATTTTTACATTCCTTGTCTATATGAAAGAAAATATGTCACAAAAATACTTTATAACTAATAGGATAGTGAGACGAAAAATGTAAAAAGGAAAATATTTTGCCCTCCCCTTGACAAATTCCTACGGACGCCCAACGCCCTTGATTTGAACTAAAAAATGTATTTAGATTTTTGGAACTTTATATACATGCTTTGCACAATTAATTTAATCTTCTACAATATCTGATAGTAAGATAAATCATCTTAATAGCAATAATATATTACAATTATTTATTTAGTTATATAGGTAGGCTGAAATAGATCGTCTTCGCTGAGAATCGTTTTTTGTAAACAATGATTTTTTTTCTACGAATTTCTAGCTAAATTATTATATACAGTGATTTTATACTTTTATATCATTGAATTCAAATACAAAAAAAACATTTGTATTGCTGGTCTTGGGTCCCAATTTTGAAGAGCAGGCATCATAGGCGCAATTTTAACTTTTGGCTTGGGGGGGCTGAATATATTAAAGGCAAGCAGACCATTGCAATATAGCATATAGAAATTGAATGTCCTAGGTTTTTTTTTGGGGGGGAGGGTGCGGCTATGTTTGGGGGGGGCTTAGCCCCACAAGCCACCCCCTCCCAATTTGCGCCTATGGCAGGCATGTTAAAATGAATAAAAATATATTCATATTATTCAGTTTCAACATTTATTTATTGCACTATAAATTATGATTTATAATTTATAGTTAAGGCTATGACAAATTTGTCATGATTTAGGCAATGGCATTTGTCGTATCTCTTCTAATCTATTATGTTCTATTAAATAATATGTAGGTATACTCCATAATTAGATCAGCTAAATCTAAATTCTAAATAATTACCCAAAACGACAAATACATTTCTAATGTTAGCAATTAGCATTGTAATCAAAGACCGTGGATTAAATCGTGGTTTTGAATGAATAGTTATCACTTATCACTTTATCAGTCATACAGTGTTACAAACTTAAAATTAATTATTTTTTATAATTGCATATTTTTCAA